AGGGTAGGGAAGGTGGCTGGGCTCAGCTGTGTATCTGTAAATTCCTATGGCCATGCAGGTCCTTATAATGCTGTTCTGAGTAACTAAATTAGAGTGCTGAAAGACAACTGAAGGGAAATCTTTGGGGGTCACAACTGAAAAGGCATTTGTGGGAATGAGAGGATGGGGAAAGCTGTCTGGGAAGTGAATGAATGAGCTGTGAGGAGATTCTGACTTATTCACTGACAGTTTCTCCTCAGTAAAAGGGTAGAGGAGCTGTGTATCCCATTCATTCACTGCTACATATTCAGTGCCTAGATGCAAGGCCTGGTTCATAGTAAACTATAAAAAACACATGTCCAGTTAATGAAGTCTAACAGGGCTCAATAAAATACACGCTGTATAGCTCTATAAGAAAACTGTGCTTACAAGTAACATATATTTTTTCAAATTAAAATAATGTATATGAGGTATATACAATAAACCACCAGTAATACTACTTTACACACACACACACACATATACCTTTGGTAGTTCAGGCTGACCTTGAACTCACTATGTAGCCCAGGCTGACCTCTAACTCGTAGAGATCCTCCTGTCTTAGTTTCCCAAGCGCTGGGATTACAGGCATTCACTACCACACCTGACATTACCTTACATTTTTATTGTCCTCTGTTAAGTTTTCAAATTTAGTATCTTCTTTATAACTCACAAAACAACATGAGTGTGGTGGTACACGCCCGTAATCCCAGCACCCAGGAGGCTGAGCCAGGAGGATTGCTGCAAGTTTGAGGCCAGCCTGGGCTACGTAGTGAACTCAAGGAGAGCCCAAACTACATAGCGAGACTCTACTTCAAAACAAAATAAAACAAAACCTCCCAAAACACCCTGAAACATGACTAAACCATGTACTATTCAGCCTAGAAGAACCTAGGTCTCATGACTCCTAGACACTACTCCTTTTTCTGTATTACTCTACTGGTAAGACATACAATTAGTCAAATGCTAAAGATAGAGGACATTTTCCAAGAAGCAACTGTATCTTTACACTACAACACTAAATTTCTAGTTTCCCCTTAAGATGTGAGTTTTATGAGTTGTAGGTAAGCGACAACATAATTTGACATTAAAAATTAACCTAAGGGAGCGAGGGATTTAACTCAGTGGTTCCGGCACCTGCCTTGAAAGAGCAAGGATCTGAGTTTGATACCCAGTAACAAAAAAAAGGAAAGAAAAAATTTACCTAAGACCCAGAGAAAGTACTGGACAGTAACTAATAGGATTGTATACTTAACAGACAAAAGTGATTTTGTGCCTCAAAGAGGGACCTTTCAGACTTTTCTGTGCTGAATTATTAACAAAAATGAGGTGATACTGGCGGAGAACCTGACTTATTCAGAGCTGAAACAAGTTCTGCCCCTGGGAACCAAACCTCAAACTAGAACAAACTAACAAGGGAAGAAATTGCCATAAACAGAAGGCAATTTAAAAGTCCACGAATGTATTTCAAAACAGGACTTTGTTTAGGAAAGACAAAGTTTCTTTGGGCGTGCCTTACTTCAAAGTAAATATTTTCAAGAAAACATACTAATGTGTCTAATAGTGAATTTTTCTTTTGAATTTCAAATTTATTTCATTATACAATCCCATTCCTTTGTAGAATAAAGTATGTAAAATATTTGAGATCTGAATTACATCCAAACGTTTTAGGCAGATAGCCTGCTAAACACAATATATTATCAAAGAAATGAAAGAGAAAAGTGGTTCCATAAAATTGATACTACCCAGCTAATCTCACCATAAAATGGTCGCCAGAAGCAAACGTAAGAACGCTATAAACTACTGTTAGGGGCTTGTGTCTAGCTGTCCCCCCAAAGTCTCATGCAGTCACAGCTGAGGCTTTTCGGAGGTGGCTGGATCTACAGTGTGTGACGCTGGGATTGATTCATAGTTCGATGATAGGGTTAAGGGTGTGAGTGTTACCTGCTCTGTGTAAAGTATAAGGGACAGAAAGAGGGCTAGGGTCATTTTTACTTGCTTGTTCCCTTCTGCCTGCTACAAAATGTTTCTCCTCTGCAACGCTCCTCTGCCTTGCAGCCAGCCGATTATGGACTGAAACCTCTACAAACTGTGAGCTACACAAACCTTTTCTCCTTTAACTTTGGGTGTCAGATATTTTGTCTTAGCAACAAGAGAAAAGTAACTAAGACAACTACCAGTACTAATACGTCAGTGACCAATCCACTATCAACACTCACCAGCACTTGGAGCCAAGTGCAGACATGAACAAGTGTCTAGACAGCAAGAGGTAGGGCTGGTGGATAGTTCTCAATTCAGTCACTAGGACTCAAAGAGAAATAATTTTCAACCAAGTCCAGTTATTCATTTTGCACTAGAAAAGGAAAATAAGTGCTCGGTGAGATCCACAAAAAACATGCAAAAAAAAAAAAAAAAAAAAAAGAAAAGAAAAGAAGAAGCATGGCTGCAAAGGCTTTTTTGTTTGTTTCAAAGAGATTATCAGGAAAATTAATCACATATGAAAGATGATGGAGAACCAGAAAGTTACAAAATGTTTCTCCCATTTTAGTTTACTCTTAAGCCATTCCTCTGCGCAATAATTTTCTTTTTTTAAGGTATCACCATCAATCACATCTTGGCCTTTTAGCTAAGATCAAGTGCAAGATACCACCATCAATTTAATCCTCACACTGCAGGGATCTTCAAAGCAATAAATACAAAGGCATTTTCAATCACAGGACCACTCCTTCACACTCATTTTGATAAAGGGCTCCCTTGTCCAGATTTCTAAGGGAGATTCAGTAAGAAAAGCTCATGTTCCATCACCCTTGCTAAGATGATGGAATTTTTGATACATAAATTTGCTCTCATTTGTACTTCAGAGCTGAACACAACTAGTGAAAAAACTCCTGCCCCACGCAGACTTTTACTCTGAAGACTAAGCTATCACCTGAAAAAGCCTCTTTTATCACTCTAACCAGAAAAAAAAGTTTTTAGAAAATTCCATTATCTAAGCCTTACTGTTGAAACAGTCAAACACCAGCATCATTTAGCACAATTTTTTACAATGTATTGTAATTTAAAACCCTAGTTTTGGCCAGGCATGGTAGCACATGCTTATAATCCCAGCAGTCTGGAGACTCAGTGAGGAGGATTATAAACATGGCCTAGGCAATTCAGTGCCTTCATGAAACCCTGTCCGCCCCCCTAAAAAAGGGCTGGGGATGTAGCTCAGTTGGGCTCATTGGGCTCAATCTCTAATACCACAAAAACAAAACAAAACAAAACAAAAAACAATACTCTAAAGTTGCATTTATTTATTTATTCATAAATTTTTTTCTGAGACAGGGTCTTGCTATATTATTCAGTACAGGCTGGTCTTGAACTCACTATGGAGCCCAGGCTGGCCTCATATTTGTGGCGTTCCTCCTGCTTCAGCCTCCTGATTGCTGTGATTACAGATTGTGTACCACCATGCCCGGCTAAAGTTGCATTTAGCAACTGAATGAATTACTGGCCAGACAGCCCAACTTCATGGTAGAAACTCTGACAGGGATTCTGATCTATGCCAAGAACTGGACTTTGGCTCATCTCCATAAACTCTTTTCAAAAACCTTTGTGTTAAAGCCCAAAGATACTGGACATTCTCAGATTCAGGATCACAGAGAGCACTGGTCTTTCATCTCAGAATGAATTAGAACTGCTGCTTCCTATCTCAAATGGGCACTAAATAATACTTGGGCCAACACCAGTCTTTTGCATGTCATTAAACTCTCAAGAGAGCTAGAAAGCTGTTTTTAAGGAAAAAAAATTCACTTGTTCTAGGGCCGGGGATTTAGCTCAGTGGTTCTGGCACCTGCCTTGCAAGCGCAAGGTCTCAAGTTTGATCCCCAGTACCAAAAAACCCTCCAAAAAACAAAAAATTCACTTCTTCCAAACTCTACAGAGAAATTCTTAAAAAGTGACTTTTAAGGTATGTGATCCATATTTCAATTTTTAGAAAAAGAAGTCAAAATCCTACAGCCTTTGAATACATTGAAGTGGTTACCCTCCAAGAACTGATTAAAACTCAGCTGCTTTTTGGGGCTTGACTTGTTCCGTATCTATCAGGAAAGAAGAGATTGTTGACAAGAGCTGGAAATATCTTTAAAACAGTTCAATTGTAGTTCTGCCACGTCTGGTATTCAGGAAGATAAAGGGCAACATTCTAAATATATATGTTGAGGAAAGAAATTACCTTACATATCCTAAAATAGTTTTCATTCAATTAGTTTATATAACTGAATCCACTCAGATGCAAATTATTACACTTTGATATAATGTACAGTGAATTACTTGGAAAACTATCCTTACTCTACTTGATTATAATTCTAGCTCAACTTCTGTTCATCAGATAAGTCACAGTAAAGAATGGTTCTATGGGTATTGTGGCTTTCCTCATGACAGCTCATCCTGGTTTCTCCAAGGTGTTCTTCTATCTTGCCCTTTCCTCTTTTACTCAGCCCAAGCTCAATCTACAAAGCCAGTTTCTCTCACTCTTCATTTTTACTTTTTCAAATAAACTAAAAAAAAAAAAATGGCTTTATGAGTTTCATAGTGATATGTAAGCCAAATGAATAAATCTAAATATTTCACAATAGTAAAATATGAAGTAGTATAATTTCCAACTAATTATAAACTTTATATTTGTGCCAATGAAACTGCACTTGTATTCCCAGAAGCAGAGCATCTGTACAACTCTCGTGATATACTAAGCGCCGGAAATATATGATGTTTACAATTTAAGGATACTAGGTATTACAAGAGTTAAGCTTCAGGCTGGGGATTTAGCTCAGTGGTACTGCCGCCTGCCTCACAAGTGCAATGTCCTGAGTTCAATCCCCGGTACCAAAAAAAAAAGTTAAGCTTCAATGAGACAAGTATATAAACTATACACATCAAATACTCAGAATAACTGCTTATTATTTTTAGACAAAACTACTCAGAAGGGTCAATATACTTACAAGAGATAGCAGCAAATTGAACAGGTCACCAACATGGTGATGATAACTCTAAAAAGGAAAATACAAATGTTATTAGATAACTAGCAAGCTATGTAGAATGGTTTAAGTCCCTTCCCATGTTATTAAACTGCCACAGATGGTGCATCAAGAAAGCAGTCTTGGGCCAGGGATTTAGCTCAGTGGTTCTACTGCCTGCCTTGCAAACACAAGGTCCTGAGTTTGATCCCCGGTACCCCCCCCAAAAAAAGGAAAGCAGTCTCAAATCTGTTCAAATATCCAGTAGACTACAATGTGCCTAAGGGTATACTTGGTAGAAGTTTAAGTACATAATTAAACATTTGTATGTAAAGGATATGTATTGATGCCACAGCTTATACGTCCAAATCAAACTCATCTAAAACGGAAAAGTCTGTTCTTACTGACAGTTCTGACACCCAAGTAACTACCCTATTTGGTAGTATTCTCTGCAGTGAGTTAACACTGTACTTCTAAATTATGCTCTCTAGTGTTGACCTCTCCCCTTTCTCTATTCATGTCTGAAAGTTACACACGGATCAGCTGAATTTTAACACTTTTAAAACAGAACTCAGGATATCCTTTCCATTTATTCCCTAAGGCTCCCCTTCTAAACCAGGTATGGTGGTGCATACGTGTAATCCCAGCACTCAGAAGGCTAAGGCAAGAGGACTGCTGAGAGTTCACAGCCAGCCTGGGCTTCACAGTGAGTTCAAGGCCACCCTGAACTACATAGTGAGACCCTGTCTCAAAAAAATAAATACTAGGGCTGGGGATTTAGCTCAGTGGTGCCACCGCCTGCCTTGCAAGCACAAGGTCCAGAGTTCAATCCCTGGTAACAACAACAACAAAAAAACCCCCGAAAAAAATAAATACCAAGAGCTCCCCTTCTAAACTTATTACCCTTCAGGGCTGGGGGTGTGGCTCAGTGGTAGTGACAGATTGTGTGCTTAGTGTGAGGACCTGGGTTCAGTTCCCAGCACATACACAAAGAAAGGGAATCTCCCATTGCCCAGAAACAACCCTACCATTTCTACCCACTCCCATCTATCATCTTTTGCTCACTCCTTCCCTGAACCTCACCATCACCAACACCAAGGATTCACCCTTGAGAACATTTTCCCCTAACTGGGTTTCTTCCTTTCTATCCCCACTATCTGTAACAAAATTAACCAGCGTGCTTTGGTTAACTTATTACTGGCAGACTAAAAACTTTTTTCCATCCCTTTCATTCTATCCACAATCACTCAGATTAATCTATGCTTTTCACTGTATCATTCTCCACCTTAAGACATTTTAGTGGCCTCCTATCACCCCACAGGAGTAGTTTCCCAAGAGCTATTTCCACACTCTTGGAATGAGGATGACTATCTCCTACAACCTGCAAAGCAAGAATTAGAACCCCTATTTACATTTATCTTTAACTCATGTTAGAATTTTTGTGCGTGCATTTTTCTAGTAAATCTACTAGCACATTCATCCATTCAGCAGATGTGCACTGAGTGTCCAGGGGACATGAACAAAGAATATTAAAACCTAACCTTGCCTTCCTAAAGTTTACATGCTAGTTGGGGAGAAGGACAACAAACAAGATAAGCAATACCATTAGTATGCCAGCAAGTGCTAAAGGAGGAAATAAAGCAGGAAAGGAAGACTCCTTACATGAGGACTGGAGCAAATGGCTACAATTTTAGAGGCCAGTCAGGAAAAGCTTTGGAGAGGGGGTGGAATTTGAGTGCAGACCCATAGAAAGAAAGTGAGGGCCCAGGCAGGGAGAACAGCAAATACAAAGATGGGAGGTGCAAGGGTCCTAGGGGCTCTGAGAAAGAAGGCCTACGTGGCTGAAGCAAAGCAAGGACAGCCTAGTCAGAAGAGCAGTCAAAGAGCTATCATACATCCTGCAAAAAGACTGAGTGAAAGGGAAGCATTTGAGAAAAGGACAGACAAAATCTGACCCAAATTCTAATAGGTTACTCAAGTGGGTTGAAAGAGACTGGGGAGAAGAGGGTCAAAGGGAAAAGAAAGTCAGTTATGGTGAACTGGGATAATCCAAGTGGCTAAGGCTGGCAACAGCTGATCAGACTCTAGATAGTATATTTTGAAGGCAGATTATTTGAAATAATTTATATATTACACTTATAATACATAAGTACCGTAAGAGTTGGTGCTAAAAGGCTTAACTGCACAAAAAAGTGAAGATCTATCTACAAAATCAAGTCCACCTCCTCACTTATAATCAAAGCTCTCCACTCCTCATCTCCTCTACCTTCATCCCTTCATACCTGAAGGCAGGTGCCTTCACTGTCCTCCATGTCACATCATGTTTATGAGGTTGTTTTTTTCAGTACTGGGGAATGAACCGTTTATGAGTCTTAATTCCAAGCTGCTGGTCATCTTTTCCTGCACCCGTGACCCAATCTAAAATCCCTTCCCTGTCCTCTCTTCCCAAAAGATCATCTCAGAGAGTTGAGACAGCTAAGCCTCTTCCACATTACCTGCTGGTATTAATCATTTCATATAAAAGCTCCCTCATGTTAGTTCTGAATGTGCTGCTGCTGCTCTGGAGCTACATCCATAGGCCTTTTTAAAGTTTTTTTTTTTAAAGGTACCAGGGATTGAACTCAGGACCTTGTGCTTAAGAGGCAGGCGCAGTACCACTGAGCTAAATTCCCAGCCCTTTTTTAAAATTTTGAGACAGGGTCTTGAGAAGTCACTAAGTTGCCCAGGCTGAACTTGTGATCCTCCTGTTTCAGCCTCCTGGAATGCTAGGATTACAGACATGGTTCACCATGCCTGGCTCAAATGTGCTTCTTCTTAGGGGCTGCATACTGACATATTCAGAAGTTAGAAGTCACAAAGACAAGCCAGGCGTGGTGGCATATGCCTGTAATCCCAGAACTCAGGAGGCTAAGGCAGGTGGATCACTGCAAGTTTGAGGCCAGCCTGAAATACACAGTGAGACCCTGTCTCAAAAAACCAAAAAGTCACAAATCCTACAATTTATCTACAAACGATTCAGCAAAATTTGAAAAAGGTATCTACATATGTACTCATATGTATTCACAGATAAGGCATATATGAATATGTTCCTGAATCTAGATGGGGATAGATGGCATTCCTTTTGTTCTTCCTACTTTTATGTATGTCTGAAAACGTTGAAAAGATTGCAGCTGCCTGAATTCTTGGCACACTTATCCCTGTGCTCATTCCTCATCTCTTCCTCCACACCTGGTAAGGGAGCCACTGTGAAAAAACTTGAAGCTTTTACAGAATCTGGGGGTTCCTGAAAAGAGAAAGCATGAACAACAGGAATGTCAGGAAGCTGCCTACAGGCACAGGCTTGATTCAATCCCATCCCTTTTCAGCTGCAGAAAGGACTGAAAGAGCAGTTTGCTTTCAGCTGGCAGTAGATCCAGAAGAGGCTTTTTCCCTTCTACCTTCACCCTGCCTCTTCAGGCCCTTCATCTCCTAATCATCCAATTCCACAGTGTGCTATGCAGAAGTCTCTTGGGGAACAGGATGCAACACCGAAGTCCTTTTTGCCTTTCTCCTTTTCTTTTTTTTTTTAACCCTTCAATCTTGGATTTGGCTTTTATTTTAAAATACATTGAGTATAGAACTGTCATAGGACAGGAAGTAACAAAACATGAAGAAACAGTATTTTCAAGTACTTTTTTAACTAGATTTTTTAAGCTATTGATTTAAAAATCAATAGGCTAGCACAGACCCAAAGTTTGGGAAACAATTCTTAAAATTCAATTCATTAACTACACAGTTTGAACAAAAAGCTCTTCTCACATTTTCCAATATACTGACAAGTTTCTAAGTGCCCATATTTCTTTTCAATTAATAAGTAAACAGCCCAAATTCAGTTGCTTTACTTAAAATTATCAGATTCAGTTTTGGTAAAAATTAACATGCCCTTAAATTCTCAATCAGGATTATAAAAATATGAGCTCAAATAGTTATGCCATCCAAAATAGAAATATCATAATTACTACTTCTGGATAACCATATAGATAATTACACTAAAATCAGTAATCCCATAACTGATGTTCATTTATATGGAAAGTGCCTTTCTCCCTTCTTACATAGTTCCTTTACTACTTCTTTTATGAAGACTTTTAATCCCTCAAATCAGACATATCTTTTCCCTATATTAAAACTCACTGAAGCCCATGAAGGAGTTCAGCTCCTTCATGTATTTCAAAAAATTGTCTTTGATTTGCAGGGGTAAGAGAACTAGTACTAACATTTTAATTTTACAATGAGGAAATGGAAACATGGAAAAGTTAACTAAATTGTCCAAGGTCACAGAGGTCATCTACCTAGGACCAGTGCTTCTCAAAATGTAATCCTGTAACTCCGAGCAGGTACTGTTTCAAGACCTGCTCAATCCTGCCAAGAGCAGGAAATACAAGGACTGTGGTGGAGGCTCTGAACTGGACCCAGATAATATATCACTAGCAGGTCAAATACCAGAATCATTACACTAGGGCTAGAAACTCAGCAGACATAGGAGGGGTTTTATTTACCTCGATAATAAGAGCAGCATCAGATCCCAAAGTGAGGAGACCATAGTCTTTAAGAAAGGAGCGGTGGGGGCCAGGGATTTAGCTCAGTGGTTCCGTCGCTTGCCTTGCAAGCGCAAGGACCCGAGTTCGATCCCTAGTACCAAAAAAACCAAAAAACAAAAGAAAGGAGCGGTGGGGCAGAGGGTGTGATTCAGTGGTAGAGTGCGTGGTGTGCAAGGCCTTGGGTTCCATTCCCAGCACCAAAAAAATAAAGGAGTGGTCACTACTGCCAGCACATTAACAAATGCTTTTCTGAGGATGACGGCCAGAAAAGCAGTAATGAAACCACTGAAGATAAAACACAACAAAGAAGCATTTTGTGGTCTCTAACTTTAGTAGAAAAAAAAGTCTAATTACATTTGGTTCATGAAAATTCTTTTTTTTTTTGGTACCGGGGATCGAACTCGGGACCTTGTGCTTTCGAGGCAGGCGGTAGAATCACTGAGCTAAATCCCTGGCCCTGAAAATTCTTTTAATAACCTTAGAATTCTGACAGTCTACATCAACTACAATTCTGGCAGCAGTGGCACACGTCTGGTTACTTGGGAGGGTGAGGTGGACAGATTTCTTGAGATCTCCAGTTGGAGACCAGCCTGGGCAATACAGTGAGTTTTCCGCTTTTAAAAATAAATCTATATCTACTATACTTGATCTTAGCCAAAAGGCCAAGAAGCTGTAATAAATCTATATCTACTACTACAAGCTGGTGATATGACACTACATAGCTGCTCAGAAAAGGGGAAGGTGAGACCTGATGCTTACAAATGATAGAAATTCATCTACCATTTTTCCTTTTAAAAAAATGTGTGGCTATTTTTAGGTTAACAGAAGTAAAAAGCAAGTTACTGCAGAGAGAAAATGAGATAATAAAATTTCCCTTCCTTTAATCAAGGCAATAGAACTACCCACTCAAGATACTTAGTGCCTACTGTGCACACAAAGTACTGTGAAAGGAGGCACTATGAAGCTACCAATTAGTTTTTTTTAAGGATGAATAAAGAGTGTTTCTGACAAACGGTGACATCAATCCAAGTCTCACTGCCTCATGATCTTGAGCTGAGGGGAAAAAATGATTAAAAAGCAAAAGAGGAACCAGAAAGAGGGTGCCCAAGGCTCCTTTGAAGATTCTATTTTATTTTTTTAAAAACTCTATTTTATGCTACATTTTAAAAGTTTAAGGGGCTGGGGATTTAGCTCAGTGGTTCCGCCGCCTGCCCTGAAAATGCAAGGTCCCAAGTTCGATCTCCAAACCCCAAAACAAAGGTTTACTTCCCCAATAGATAAAACTCTTTTTTTTTGTACCAGGGATCGAACGTGGGACCTTCTGCTCGCGAGGCAGGCTGCGGAACCACTGAGCTAAATCCTCGGCCCTGACAAAGCTCTATTTAATAAAGAAGTCTGCGGGACAAATCTTTCATAGTCAAACATTCTAAGCACTTGTTACAATCACGTACGAGTAGGGAAGCGTCCTCCGAAAAGATATGACGCAGGGAACTCTAAACAATACCTCTTGCTCCTAGTAATTAATCTCACATGAGATCAGGCACCGATCCCCTGCTGGCGCCCACTAGATGTGAGGCCTGGGCTCATTGTCGAACAAGTTTGTTCCGTACGCAGACAGCAGGTGAGGGGGAGAGAACAACTTTTGTTTTATTTACCTCATCTTTTAAAGTTTCATCCAACAAGGCCTCATGCGAGGGGAAGGCAAGGCCAAAAGATCAGAAGTCAGGGAGGGATGAACCCCAACTTCTGGAGCCCATAAACTCCTTTCCAAGGCCATGAGAAAAAAAAAATCTCCTAAACTCATTTCCAAGGAGGATCCGCCAAAAGTGACTCTCCTCACACTCGGGCCGAGGACACTGAAGTTGCTGTGATAAGATGACAGAGGGATAAGAGGGGGCTCCGCCAGGGTAGGAGGTCGGTGCCCGGGGTGCGGGGTCGCCCCCTGCCCCTGCCAGCCCGGCCAGGCCGGCCCTCACCGCGCGTCCCTCCCGAGGTGGCCTCGTTCACTTACCCCCGGTTGGGACCTTTAGGAATGAACCAGGGCACGACGAAGCCGACAAAGCCCCAGAACACGCTCATCACGATCAAAGGCACCGTGAGGCCGTGATACGCCATGACCGCCGCCGGAGCTGCCAGCCCCTGCCCAGAAGCCTCACTTAGGTCCCACCCGGAAGTGTCAACGCCGGGACTCGTGACCGGCGCGCGCAAAGCCCCGCCTCTCACGCCCCACGTGACCTGCGCGCCAGACCCCCGCCCCTTGGCTCCAGAGTCCCGCCCTCAGCTGGCCTGCTTTAGGGCAGCAGCTGCTTAGAGATGTAGCTCAGGCTAGAGATAAGGGTTTAGCCTGTAAGGGTTCAGCAAAGTTTTCTTTTTTCTTTTTGGTACCGGGGATCGAACTCGGGTTCTTGCTCTTGCACAGCAAAGTTTTCGATAGAAACTTAAGGCCCTTTAGGCAAAGTGTGGTTATTAACAACTTTACTTTTTATGCAACAGACATGAAGAAAGCTTAACATAATAAATTACTATTCTGAGTTCCTATGTACAGGGCACTGGAACATGAGCTTTTAGTATGAGTTGCTTTTTAATTCTGCACTACAGTCTTGCAGTTGAAGAAAATGAGGCCCAGGGAGGAGGTTAAGAATCTTGTCTAGGGCCGGGGATTTAGCTCAGTGGTGCCGCCGCCTGCCTCGAAAGCACAAGGTCCTGAGTTCGATCCCCGGTACCAAAAAAAAAAAAAAAGAATCTTGTCCAAAGTCACACGGTAAGTGGTAAGGGCCAGGATTCAACCACTGTTGATCTGGGGCTTTTTGTTTTGCTTTGTTTTTTGCTTTTGGGGGACAGTCTCGCTATGTAGTGCAGGTTGGCCTTGAACTCAGTATGTAGCCCAGGCTGGCCTCGAACCCACAGCAATCCTCCTGCTTCAGCCTCCTGTAATGCTGAAATTACAGGCAGGTGCCACCATACCCTAATGATCTTATTTTCAAATGCAGAGCTCTTAACTATTGCACTATGGTGTATCTTGTGCACTATGTCAGGTTGTGGGGTGAGAGTTTCACACTCTGGGGAGAAGATGGACCTGCAAACAGGCACTGAAGATAGTGTGAAGGTGGAATGGCTGGTCATGTACACATAGTGCATGCCTTTCCACACCAGCCAGTTTTCAGCTAGGCTGTGAAAGAGTAGGAATTAGCCTCTATAGTAAGAAGATAAACATGGTTTCTAATGCTTGCCAAGAATTTTCACATATGGGCAGGGGATTTAGCTCAGTGGTGCCACCGCCTGCCTCAAAAGTGCAAGGTCCTGAGTTCGATCTCCCATACCAAAAAAAAGAGAATTTTCATATGTAAATTATGGCATGCTACAACCTTAAAATAGAGGAAACCAATTCTCAGATGTTGAGACTGACAGTTCATAGGAAACTGCATAGTGAGTTCAAGCCAGCCTAAACTGCCCGACAAGACCCTCCCTCAGAAGAACCAAAAAAAAAATAATGTTCATAGGAAGAAGCAAGATGGAAAACAGATCTATCAACTAAATCCAATGTGGGGTTTTTTTGTGGTCCAGTTTCCCTGTAATAGCTACATTTTGTTGCCTCATATTACCTCCTGATTTTTTTCTTCACCAAGTAAAATGGGTCTCTAAATTACATGGAAAGTTGGACTAATAATATTCAACATCTACATCAACTTTTCAAACATGATTCTAAGCCTTTAACTGACCAGTAATGCAGGAAACTAGTTGGTATTCTTTATGCTTATATTGCTCCCTCCAAAACTCAGCAGAAATGTTGTGTTCTTAAATTCCAGTTCAAGTACTGCCTTCTCCAAGAACCATTTCTGTTGGCCCATCTCTTTGTGTTTGTGCATGTATCTTGTCCAATTCTACTCCTGGAGACCAGCAATTGTTTAACTGATTTTTGTTTCTGAGATCACATTATACAAAGAGAGTACACAATTGTGCGACTGAACTGTGTTGTTAAGAACAGGTGAGATATGCCAGGCTAAATAGAAAAAGAGTTCACTTACTTTCTTTCCCCTTTGATATTTATTTATGTATTTAAGTTGTGGTAATATACATATAGCATAAAATCTTAGCCAGTGTTAAGCATACAATTAATTGTATTCATAGTATTGTGTAAACAATTTCTATAAGGTTTTCATATCCATTCAACAATAACTTTCCATTTCCCCTCCCCCAGCACCTGTCAACCATCATTCTGCTTTCTATCTTTATGAGTGTTGCTACCCTCGGTACTTCCTGTAAATGGAATCATACAGCATTTATCCTCTTATGACTGGCTTATTTCATTTAGCATATCTTCAAGGTTCATCCATGTTGTCCATGTGGCAGAATTTCCTTCCTATGTAAGGCTGAATACTCCATTATAAGTATAGACTACATTTTTTAAAAATCCATTCATCCATCCATGGACATTTGGGTTGATTCCGTTTTTTGGCTATTGTGAATTCTTTCCCATTTCTGTTTTGTTTTGCTTCGTTTGGTACTGGGGATCAAACCCAGGACCTTGTGCTTGTGAGGCAGGCGCGATGCCACTGAGCTAAATCCCCGGCCCCCCATTTCTTAAATAAATGCAAATATTTAGTCTGAAATTGATCTCTCAGGTAGAGTGTCTAACCTTAGCCTCCCTTTCTAGGCAGACTCTTTAGGAATCAGATGTCAGGGAGATCAGGGACATGGCTCTTCAGACAGCAATTCTGTCTGAATCTGTCCATTTCATCCTCTGAGAAACAAGAAAAATCCTTTATCTCAGTATTAGATTTGTGGGCTAATACTGGCCAACAGCTCCCTCTATCAGTCAGTCGGCCAAAAACATTTTATCACACGTTCCACATGAAAACTATGGGTAAGGCCAGGAACTATGATTCAGTGACCTACTGAATGAGCAAATACTTTCTATCCTCAAGATGCTTAAAGTCTTTAGGAAATAAATGAGACTCTGAGTAGTGTGGTCTGAGGACCCCTGGGGAGTTCCAGAGTCTCTTAGCAGGACCTCTTTTCTACTGATGAATCTGAGACTGAATTATTTTTTCGTGCTTCATCTTAAAAAACATATTGCCAAGGTACAAATTTCCAATGATGAATGTCATTATATTATATACCTTAAATGTACCAATCTAATTAATAAAAAAAGGAAAAAAAGCATATTGTCACAGACAATGCAGAACAGAAGCATTGTGGGAATCCATGGTCTTCTGAGCCAGATATTGAAGAATTTTGCAAAAATGTAGCTTAATGCCAGTCTTCCCACTACATTTTTATTTGTTTTGGAAAAGATAGTTATTTTCCATAAAATTTTTAGTTGTGTTAAAATGTTCGTGATTTATTATTATGTTATGTTTTTGTGCTGGGGATGGAACCCAGCGTCTCAAGCATGCTAAACATACACTCTACTCCTGAACTGTTCCCCTAGCCCTATTGCTATTTTTATCTTTTTTTTTTTTTTTCCTGTACCAGGACTTTGTGCTTGCCAGGCAGGCACAGCACCACTGAGCTACATCCCCAGCCCCATATTTTTAAATGAATTTAAAATAA